GCGGTGGCCTCGGCTCCCCGGGCCGCGCCAGAGCTGAGGACCGGCGCGGAGAGCGCCGGGGAGCCGGGAACCGAGACTGAACACCGCGATGCCGATCACCTCTTGCCGGAGCTCGGGGCCCTGGGTCGTGCCGGCCGAGGTGTGATCGGACCCCAGGCTGGCCACAAAGGGTCCAGCAGCTTGGCCCGGAGGCTAGGAGAGCGAGGGGAGAGCGGGGCCACCCGCCTCGGCGGCCCGGGACTCGGCTCGACTCGACTCGCCGGAGAATGCGCCCGAGGACGACGGAGCGCCGGAGCCGCGGTGGTTTCAACTGGCTAGCGCTAATGGGGGTGCGCCGGAGTAAAGCAGAGTGATGCGGGGGGGCAACTCGCCCGGCACCGAGATCGCCGCTGCGCCCTTCCCCGGACCCGGCGTCGCCCAGGATGACTGCCCCGAGCCATGGGCCGCGGCGGAACTAGCGCGGAGCGCCCGACCCTCGCCCCCCGAGTCCCGGAGCCGGTCCCGCGCGGGGCCACGCGTCCCGCAGGCGCTGGTTCCTAAGGACAACGACAGCACCAGCTTTTCCTTTCTCCTTTCCCTTCCCTGCCCCGCACTCCTCCCCCTGCTCACTGTTGTTGTGTGTCAGCACTTGGCTGGAGACTTCTTGAACTTGCAGGGAGAATAATTTGCGCTCCCCACTAAGTGCCGGTGTCTGCCCCAGCAGACCCAGCCTTGCCGCCTCCGAACCCCGCCGGACCTCCACTCCTACGCCGGGCGCGACCCCGAGACGCCGTTCCTTGCGTGAGGAGAGGGATTGCCCAGCCGGCACCGGGGAGTAGAAGGAGGCAAAGGAAAGGAACTCGGTCCCTGCGCCAGGTCCTTCGGCCAGAGCGTTTTCCATGTGGAGGCTCTTTCAATGGACGTGTCCCCGCGTGCTTCTTAGACGGTCTGCGGTCTCCTAAAGGTAGAGGATGTGGGCCCGGGGCTGGGACTGGGGAAGTGGGCGCGAGGCCGCGGCAGCTGAGCACCCTCCGGGGCCCCGCCAGGGCAGACGTAAACAGAACCCCTTCCAAGTCCACGTGCAGTCGAGCCCCTGCTGGGATGCCCCCATCCTACCGCCCCCAGCGACCGTCAGCCTCGCCCTCCTGGCTCGCACTCTTCCGCCCCTCCTCCCGTCCCTCTTTTCGGTATTTTATTAGGGCTGTTAACACTTAGATGATTTAAAAAAAAAAAATGTTAAATCCTTTCGAGAGGGTGACCCCTGTATTTCACCCGTTAGCTGCCAGCCTGTACGCCTTGCCATGGTGATTCCTTCTTCCTTCTCCAAGTTTTTCCAGGAGACCTGCTGTCTCTACTCAGAGCCACGTCCTTCTTATTTGGGAAAATACTAAAAGTTAGGGTTCTCTTTGTTTCCAGGAATTTGAGGGGCAGTACTTTAGTGCCACCTTGTACTGACACGTGAATTAATTTATATTAGCCATTTATGTAATCCCAGGAAGATACATCAAAGATAACTGCTTAGTTGGGAGGGGGGAGGGGTGATCTAGTATTGGAGTGGTCTGTCCTGACACCTCTGAGGTTAGAGGCGTGGGCCACAAGTTGCAAGTGGCTTCAGAAGTTGTGGCCTTGAGTTTACTGGGTCTGGAAGTTATAGACTATGTGTGTGCGTATCAGGAAGTTCTATACAGTACTTCTAAGGAAGTCACATGCACCATTCGTGCGTATTTATATGCAAGCGAGCGCCGTGTAGTGTATGTTTGGGTTTGTTTAGGGGACGATGGGGTGTCAGACACAGCAGTGGTTTTCCCAGGTTCCCTGCACTAGCTGTCAGCGTGAGTGTTACAGAAAAAAAAAGGTGACAGTCATTGAAGCTGCTGCTGCTGCTGCTGCCGCTGCCGCTGCTGTTGGTGGTGGTGTGTGTGTGAGTGAGAGAGGGCGCAAATCATGTCAGATGAATTGAAAGTGGGATGGGAGGGAGAAATCTTTCTGGCTCAGGAACTAGGGCCCTCCCATTCTCCCAAACGTTAGAGCTTCAGTCGCTCTTAAGTATCCCTCAAGTGTTGCAAGCCAGGTGGGCACCCTGGAGGAGGAGGCAGGCGGACCGCGCGGGAGCTGGGACTGCGGGGGCGGAAGGGGGGGGAAGGCTGGGCGGGGAAGTCGGTGACTCACGTCGGCCCTGTCCGCAGGTCGACCATGGTGGCCGGGACCCGCTGTCTTCTAGCGTTGCTGCTTCCCCAGGTCCTCCTGGGCGGCGCGGCCGGCCTCATTCCTGAGTTGGGCCGGAGAAAGTTCGCGGCGTCAACTGGCCGCTCCTCGTCCCAGCCCTCGGATGACATCCTGAGCGAGTTCGAGTTGCGGTTGCTCAGCATGTTCGGCTTGAAGCAGAGACCCACCCCCAGCAGGGACGCCGTGGTGCCCCCCTACATGCTAGACCTGTACCGCCGGCACTCAGGCCAGCCGGGTGTGCCCGCCCCGGACCACCGGCTGGAGAGAGCAGCCAGCCTCGCCAACACGGTGCGCAGCTTCCACCACGAAGGTGAGGCGTGGAACTGGGGAGTGGGGGCGGGGACGGGGGCGGGGAGTCATCCCGCAAAGCGCCCGTGGGTGCTCAGACTGCTGGCATCCTTGAAGGGCAGCTTGGTCTGGGCGCGGAAGCCTTTTCCAGTCTTGCCTCTGCTAAGAACTGTTCCGAACCTGGCTTTAACGCACGGCCTCGGGGGGGTGGGGGGGAGCAGGGATTCCCCATTGGTAAATCCGCACCCTTTTCCTGGCTTGCAGCCAGAAGAGCAACTCCTCCTCCAGGAATTGGAGAGAAATCAAGTGATGGGAAGATGAGGGCAAAAGGCATGCCCCTAGTCAGCTAAATGTGCAAGAATTCCATAGAGGAAGAAAAGGAGCGGGGCAGATTGGGATCTCTTTAGGTTTGTTTGGAAGCCCTCACTCTATAAATCTGCTTCTCCTGGTTAAGCCAGTGTTTCAGGGTAGACAGAGCCAAGGGCAGAATTTTCAGAGATTGTATTGAAAAAATCAAAGCCCAGGGCCCCAGAGTCTCTAATTTACAGTTGATCTGGGCCTGGTTTGGAAATTTTCGAATCACTATCTAATCCCAGAGGGAGATCAATTCCACAATCAATCTTATTGTTTTCACAATGACTTTCTTGTCCTGTGCTTAAATCTGAGATGAACTCCGGAGTAGAGACAAGGGAGGCCTCAGATAAAAGCTTTTGCAGCAGCTGCCTGTTTCCTTTCATATGAATTGAAATGTGGATTTTTTTTTTCCTTTATGATACTGGATGTGGTTTTTCTAAGGTAGGATATTCTGCTTTTTTCATGTGAAAAGCATTTAGTGGATTTGAAATGTCTTAGAGCAGCTATTGAGAGCTGCTGTAACCAGGTTCTTAGAGCAATGAGTCAAAAATATTCCACTTCAATTCTTTTTCTACACTTTTAAATGCCCCTTTAGTTTAATACATTCTAAATAGAGCAAGAGTTCCTTCAAGTTGTACAGAAGGGTACAAAGTTGCATGTCACAAGGCAGCCACTTATAGGATATTGGGGAGTTGGGAGTGAAGTTCCCTTTTTCTTGCTTTGTCCTGCTGAGGTGGTGAATTTCAAGTGGAATCTACAGTCCGATGCAGAAATGTGTTCATCATGTCCTGGGGATGATTATAGAGCCAGCTTTTAATTTTCAGTTGATGCTGATTAGAATCATTTTTCTGGGTAGAAAAGTAACAAGCATGGCTCATTTAGCCGCCTCTCCTGAAAATTTACCATGGAAACTATTCTTTGCTTTTAAGGCCAGGAAGGTACTATGTATCTCTTATAACTTAAAAGAAAGATCAGTTAAATCATTTGACACCTAAAACATTCAGTTGCATGAGGATTCCATCAGTTTCTTCCTCTAGAAGTGGCTTGATCAAAATTAAGCGGGCTGCAAATTACTTGAGCGTTATTTTAACTTAAATAGCATGTTTGAGTTTATGTCGGAATTTATATCTTTAAAAGTGTAAATGTTATGTGTAAAATAGTACGGAATTTACCAACTTGCTTAAAATCAACTTTGAATAACTTCAAATCAGAATGCAAATAGATGATAGAGAAAAGCTACGTAACTTTTGCCCCAAATTTCAACAAATCCATTTCTTTTCTTGTTACTAGTATATCATCGGATCACTATTTGAAGACCATTTCATTTTTGTGTAACCCAGGATTTGGTTTTTATAAACATCCTTGTGCCATGTATGACACTAAAAATCTTTTATTAAACCATTTGATTGAGGCTTCTGGCTTAAGAGCAGAATTTGGTTCATACAGCATTAATGGGCATTTATCTGGTACAGAACCGAAGGACCTGATTTCATGAATTACCTGTTGGTATTATTTGTGGGTGGGGTCTGGATGATTTGGTGAAATTATAAGATGCGATATCATGATGGAGTTCTTTTCAACCACTGTGTAAAGGTAATGGGACCACATGGTAGACAATCAGAGAAAAGTATCAGTTGTTATTTTTTCTCTTAAACTTTGTCTTCTCCTTTCTGCAAATCGCTTTTATTTGAGAAAGCCCAAGTGCTAAAACAATTTTCTTTTTCAAAGTCATTAAGAAGTGCTTCGGCCATACAGACCTTTCAAAACTGCCACTAAGGATAGAAAAAATCCTTCTCTAATTGGAAAGAATGTTTTGTGCTCTGTTGTAGTGAAAACATGTTGAAATTGGTTGACTTCATTGGCTGTGGAAAAAGTTTTTGCATTTTCCTGTTAGATTGGCATATAGAAGAAGAACCATTTGCTTGCTCTCCAGACTCTGTAAGACATTGTCTTCTTTTCTCACGAAATAACTGAATTATTTGCCTCTACGACAGAAGTTTTGAAATAGAGATTAACCCTGTTCCTACAAATGTAATCATTGTGAAAATATCCATACAGCAGGAAAGTTCAAGAAGCAACCATTACCCTGTGAAGCACTTGTATCCCAAATTCCCAGTGCAGCCAAAGGATTTGGACGCTATGCACTGCCGAAACCAGTACTTCCCTGGGGTGCTTCCTTAGTGTCTCCAGGTGTTTCAGTGTGATCACAAAAGGCCCCACTAAGTAGAATAGACATTCTGTTTGGAAGTGCTCATAGAGATTGAGGCTTTGATGTCCAGCGACAGGTCTTGTATTAATGCTTTCTGTTCCACCTTTTATTTAGTGGTTCCTCTGTGTTCTCTCTGGATCCCTTCTCCTTGAGCTATTTTGCCTTTTTTTAAGACTTGCCATTTGTATATTTCACTAAGTAGTCAGAAGGCAATAAGAAGGCACTCAGTCATTCCATGGATGTTGGAGCTGAGGGGGGAAGGGCGGGGGCAGGGGCCAAATCAGGGTTAGTGATTATGAGCATTGTGACCATGCTTTTCCTTTAGCTGCCATCTCCTTTGGTGTCTTTCTATGAAAACTGATTCCTTTTACCATGGCGTATTTTATCCTTTTTCTCCTGGATATATCAATTCCATAACCATTATTTTATATTCTAGAAAGTATTGTTTATTATTCATAGCCACTTTCATTTTCTCTCAGTAGTTTTTAACCTTACCGATTTGCTAGAACATCCCCAGGTTTCTGTTGCTGTTATCTTAATGGACATTTTTGGTCCAGAGAGTGTTGCAAGATTCTCAGAATATAATGATAACTCACGTTTTTGCTAAAACTCATCATACTGTAGGACAAAAAGGTAGCCACAAAACATCAGTGGTTGCACACAAGATCTTCATGTCGCAGTGGGCCCTGACACTTTTTACTCTCCTGTTCATTTAGTTCTGTCTGCTTTCTCCACCATACTTGGGTAGTATATTTCTATCCCTTTAGTTGGGAAAGAACTCACCCGATGGTTGTCTTGTATTATAAGTGTGCCATTATGGTTCTGAATTTTGCTTGCGTTTTTGACTCCTCCCTTATGTTATAGAGTGCCGTCTAGTGGCCAGAATCTTGGGGACTGCAGTAGACAAAAGTTCATAGCTCTGCTCTTCTTCACTTACTGGTTCTGTGAACTTAGGAAAGTCACATAGCCTCTCTGAGCTCCAACTATTTTATTCACAAAATGGAGATAATAACAGTTCCTCTCTAATTGATTTGTTGCGATAATTCATATAAAGCTCTTAGTGCCAGACCTGGCACAAAGAAGCATTCAGCACACTTGCCAATTATTATCACTATGACTTCTTTCTTTTATATCATATTATCTATCCCCTTGTCTAGGGAAAAGGAAGCCAGAGTGGACCTAGGCTGGCTGAGAGAATTCAGCCTCATCTTTTGGATTATTTCGATGCGGATGAATAATTGGTAGAGTGTAGATGGCTCTTCACTTTTGGAGGAGAGGTTGGATGTGTTTATTGCCTCGTTTTCTTTACTTGCCCCTATTTTTGCAGCCATAGCTCCATTTATTTGGTTAAGAACTTTTTAATAAATGCCAAGAATATTTACTTGGTTAAGAAATGGGTTCAGGAACTTAGGTCTGAGATAGGCTGGAATCCTCAAACCCCTTGGTAAGTTCAAATTATTCAACAAGCGTTCTTTACAGAGAATTAACAACTGTATAAACCTCAAAAACAGCCTAAGTTACCTACTTGGGTAAATGCTCTATATTACAGACTCCTCAGGTTTGCTGTGATAATTTGCAGAAGCTTTTTTCCTTTACTTTATTTCACATAGGGTTTGATTTTTCAACCCTCAAGAAGAAATTCATGCTGCTCTCTTGCAGATCAAAGGAAAGGTTGATAGGTGCCCAAACCTTGGGCAGTTACTTTCCTGATTTTGGGGGTTTCAGTAAACTTCTCACTAACTTCTCTGTGGCCTAAGCCTGAAGTCAAGGGTGTTACGGGGACCTTTATATTAAGGAAGGAGAGGGCTCCTTCAAGGAATAGGTTGAACGAGATGAAGCTGGAAAGTCAGAGAAAGGTCTTCATGTTATTTGATATTATTTAATAGTGCTTTTTTTTTTTTTTACTTTGCTAATGTTGCCAAGTGATTATCCTTTTTGCCACTTAACTCCAGTGAGATTTTGAAGTGCATGAAATTGCTGTTTTTATAGGTCAAATCTGGTCAGATGGTGGAAATTTTATAGGGTCGAATCTTATATATTTTTCTGTGTCTTTTATACCCATCTTCTTTTCTTCATTTATCTCTCATGATTGCCTTGAAGATTGTCTCTTCATCATTATTCTCTGGCTATGTGTGTGTCTATGCGTCTGTATATTTATAACTTATTTTAATTTATGGATTTGGACTCAGGGTTTTTTTGTTGCAGTGATTTCTCTGGATACCTTCATTAATACAGCTGGTCAGGAAATGCCCTGGATAATTTGCCTTCCCTTTCCGCTCTTTAAAAGAAGAGCGTGTTCTTAGGTGTGCCAGCATTCAGAGAAGTCAGTAGCTCAGGCCCAGGTCTGGCTTTGGGTCATTGTGTCTGGGGGACATGGCTGATTTTTACCTCACTTCTTTTTCCTTTGGTGCTGTTGGCTTCTCTGCTGAAAGCATGCCTTCGGTGGAACATCAGAGGGCTGCTCCTGAATTGCAAGGAGGAGAGAGGAAAGAAGGAGCTAAATACAGTCCTTGATGCTTGTTGGAAGCCACGGAGGAGAGCCCTGGTTCCATTGGTGGGAGGGTTATTTTAAAAATAGAGGTTGGCCTGAAGTACTGTTTGCTTACAGTGAGGTTTAGAATGTGAATGGCTCCTGAAAGGTATCCCCAACATGTATGGATTAGCTGGGGGTTCACTTCTTGGCCTGATAGTCTCCATGTCCAAGTAGGTGAGCTTGAGAAGATCTTTTTATAATGAGTCCCCAGCTGCCCACTTATGGCCCCCACTCTTACTCTCTGGCCATCACTAGCGGTTCTGCTACTCATTTTCATGTTATCAACAAAAAAGGCACTTTAAAATGTGCTCCTAGCAATTTATGCTTGAATGTAAAAACTGTCCTTTAAAACCTTTACTCCCCAAGGGTGGTCCAGGAGCTCTCAGCATCACCTCATCTGGGAGCCTGGTAAAAATGCAGAATCTCAGGCACCACCTGAATCAGAATCTGCATTTGAAAACCAAAGTTGTCCTAGTTGTTTGGTGTGAAGGTTAAAGTTTAAGATGCCTCACCCTAAAGCATTATTCCATAATTTGTTATAAACTGCCCCTACTGAACTCAGTGCTTCCACTTAGTTTGCAGTGATGACTTGCTTCTATGAAGGTTTATACAGGTAGAACCTTCAAATGAGTCATCTGAAGTGGTTCTTCTTTGCTAAGGTGTCTAGATCTGCGAACAACTTATAGTTGTTTGGTTCCGGAGAAATACAACCATAAAATTAATGAAAATATGGCATTCTCTTATAATGATGATATGGAACCACGGCCAAATAGATTTTGTTAGCATTTTGGTTGGATCTTGAATGAAGCAGATACATTTTTTTGATAGTGAAATGACAGGATATCGTAAAGCCAGAAGAAAATAAACCCAACTATCTCAAATTCTAGTGCTGTGCACTGTCAATTTAATAATAGTGTGTACCTTTGATGACTTTCAGACTACAACATTCAAGGTGCTGTGCTGTTTTTTATTGTTTACTTGGAAAACAGTACTCGTTAAAATTGAAATTCAGGAATCTTAAATCAGGAACAGCTTCTATGCATAGTCCACTTAAATGACTATTTTGAAATAATGATAATAGTTATAGAATGATTATTTTGTAATAGGATGAGATTATCTTTTATGTTATGAATATCATAATGGCATTTTTTGTAGATTTCTATCAATTTTTTTTTTTTTGGTTTTGTGTCTATCCTGTATCCTGTTCTTGGGTAGGTGATTATTTTTAATATGATTTATTACTTTTTTTGAAAAGATTAAGGAATTGCAAACAAAGAGTAATTTTTTTCCCAAAAGCATCTAAAATGAGATTTTGATTTTCGAGGTCATGAGGTGAGAGAACAGACAACACTTGGGAAGTTATTTCTCTTGAAATTGTCTGGCCTTAATTACCACAGTGTCCCAGTACCACCCTTACGTTTCCAAAGAAGCAGATTCCTGTACATGCCTTTGTCTCTGGATTTTTGAGTAAAATAGTAGGGTGTGCTTTGTAAAATGTCATCGTTGATGTTGAGTTTCAGAGTCTTTAATTAGGAAACTAAAATCCGTATATCGAGATTTGTAAATCATCTAAATTGCAGAGCAATGTTTTAGAATACTGCTTAAGGGATTGACATTAAAGCCTTTTTCTTTTTACGAAATGCAATAATTTCCTCAAATCCTCACTCATTAGACCTTTACTAACTATAGTGCTGACTTTTTTTTTTTTTTTTTTTTTTGCCCTAAAGTCTGTGAATTCCAAAGAAATGCTTCACAATTTCCTCCATTATTATAGCCACCTGGAAGCAGTATTCATGTATTGGGTTAAAAACATAACAATAAATGATGAAATTTTATTTTATGGCATGCATAAATGTGTAGAAAAAAGGAGACTTTTTAATCTAAAGGGGAAATTTTTATTTTCTGGTTGCAAACTTTTACATGGGTTAAATCAAACCCTGAAATGAGGTTTACAAATTCTTATATATAATCAGATTGTCATTACTTATCTTACCCAAGTATTTTTCTTCTTTTTTTTCCTCACCTTTTTATATCAAATTAGAATCTTTGGAAGAACTGCCAGAAATGAGTGGAAAAACAACCCGGCGATTCTTCTTTAATTTAACTTCTATCCCCACCGAGGAGTTTATCACCTCAGCAGAACTTCAGGTTTTTCGGGAACAGATGCAGGAAAATTTGGAAAACAATAGCAGTTTCCATCATCGAATTAATATTTATGAAATTGTAAAACCTGCAGCAGCCAACTCGAAGTTCCCCGTGACCAGACTTTTGGACACCAGGTTGGTGAATCAGAATGCAAGCAGGTGGGAGAGTTTCGATGTCACCCCTGCTGTGATGAGGTGGACCGCACAGGGCCTCGCCAACCACGGATTTGTGGTGGAAGTGGCCCACTTAGAGGAGAACCACGGTGTCTCCAAGAGACACGTTAGGATTAGCAGGTCTTTGCACCAAGACGAGCACAGCTGGTCACAGATAAGGCCACTGCTAGTAACTTTTGGCCATGATGGGAAAGGACATCCTCTGCACAAGAGAGAAAAGCGTCAAGCGAAACATAAACAGCGCAAACGCCTTAAGTCCAGCTGTAAGAGGCACCCTTTGTACGTGGACTTCAGTGATGTGGGATGGAATGACTGGATCGTAGCCCCGCCAGGGTATCATGCCTTTTACTGCCATGGGGAATGCCCTTTCCCTCTGGCTGACCACCTGAACTCCACTAATCACGCCATTGTTCAGACGTTGGTCAACTCAGTTAACGCTAAGATTCCTAAGGCATGCTGTGTCCCAACGGAACTGAGTGCTATCTCCATGCTGTACCTTGATGAAAATGAAAAGGTTGTATTAAAGAATTATCAGGACATGGTTGTGGAGGGTTGTGGGTGTCGTTAGCACAACAACAAC